CAAAAGGAAACCAGGCATGTTTCAAACCCTTATGAAAAGCCGACCTGTTTCTCATGGTTATCTTACTCAGCTTTGGACCAAGTCTCAACAAGAACAGGAGCCCAGACACAGTCTCTTCAATTCCACTGAGTTTTTCCCTTCAAAGATGCATTTCCTACAGGTGGCATTTAAATGAGTACTTCACAGAATTCTACATCTGTGTTGAGTGGGCCTGGTATTTCCCCCCAAAATAACTTTTTTAACCTCATATTCAGATGAGCCAAAGTTTGGCCTTTAAAGTTGAATACCCACATCTACTCTGCTTCAGACTTGGATAACTGGAATGCTTTATCCAGATGTTCTATCCAGACTAATTTTGTAGTCAGGTGCAATGAATGATGACAAAAATAATTCAGCAAGATACAAGAGTATGTGGGTCAATGATTTCAGATAGAGTCACAGACACTCACATCCATAGGTACCTGTTTCTTTCCATCAGTAGAAAAGGAATTGCTGGTAAGAACATGCTTTATCAAATACAAGAATAACACTGCATACCCACTTTATTTTTAAGACATAATTTTTTAGAAGTTTTAAATTTATACCAACAGTGAGAGGAGGTACAGAGATATCCCATATTTCCCCTACCCCCACACAGGTATAGCCTCGCTTATTATTCACATCACCCACAAGAGTGGTACATTTGTTGCAATAGATACATCATTATCACTCAAAGTTCAGAGTTTGTATTAGGGTTCATACTTGGTGTTATATGTTCTATGGGTTTAGAAGAATGTGTAGTTACATGTATCTACTCATTACAATATCATATTGAATATTTTCACTGCCCTAAAAATCCTCCATGCTCTAGCTACTCATCCCTTTCACCCCACTAACTCTTAGCAACCACTGGTCTTTTTACTGTTTCCATAGTTTTGCCTTTTCTAGAATCTCATACGGTTCGAATCATACAGTGTGGCCTTTTCTGATTGGCTTCTTTCACATAGTGATATATATTAAGGTTGCTTTCACGTCTTTCCATGACTTAGCAGTGCATTTCTTCTTAGCATTGAAAAATATTCCATTATCTAGATATATCACAGCCTATTTACCCATTCACTTACTGAAGGACATCTTGGTTGCTTCCAAGTTTGGGCACTTATGAATGAAGTTGATATAAACATCCATGTGCAAGCTTTTGTGTGGAAATCTGTTTTTAACTCCTTTGGGTAAAAATCAAGGCGTGCAATTGCTGGATCATATGATAAGGATATGTTTAGTTGTTTATAAAGCTGCCAAACTGTCTTCCAAAGTGGCTGCACTGCTTTGTGTTCCCACCAGCAATGAATGAGAGTTCCTGTTATTCCATATCCTCACCTCAGTATTTGGTGCTGTCAGTGTTCTGATCATGGGATTTTGTCCATTCCGATAGATATGTTGTGGTATCTCATTTTAATTTGCATTTCCCAGATGACATATATAATGTGAAGCATCTTTTTATATGCTTATTTGCCATCTCTATGTCTTTTTTAGTGAGGTATCTGTTGAGGCCTTTGGTCTATTGTTGGTTTTCTTTTATTGCTGAGTTTTAAGAGATTTTTTTTTTCTTTGTATATTTTGGATAATAGCTATTTATCAGATATGTCTTCCGCAAATATCGTCTCCCAGTCTTTGGCTTGTCTTTTTATTCTCTTGACAGTGTCTTTAACACAGCAGAAAACTTTAATTTTAATATAGTCCAGCTTACCAATTGTTTCTTTCATGGATCATGCCTTTAGCATTGTATCTAAAAAGTCATTGTCAAACCCAAGATCATCTAGATTTTCTCCTACGTTAGCTTCTAGGAATTTTATAGTTTTGCATTATACACTTATGTCTGCGATCCATTTTGAGTTAATTTTAGAGAAGAGTGTAAGAGCTATATCTAGATGTATTTTTTTTTTTTTTTTGCATGTGGATGTCCAGTTATCCCAGAACTTTATTGAAAGACTCTTTTCTCTATTGTATTGCCCTTGCTCCTTTGTCAAAGATCAGTTGACTATATTTCTGTGGCCTATTTCTAGGCTCTTCTGTTCCATTAATCTATTTGTCTGTTCTTTCGCCAATATCACACTATTTTGATTAATGTAGCTTTGTAGTAAGTCTTGAAGTTGGATAGTGTCTATTCTTCAACTTTTTATACAGCACATACTTTACGGCTTTCACACAGATGAAGTGATGGATCTATACAATAAATGCAAACTCTGCTTCCTAGTCTCCAGTGTGATCCAATCACCTCTATCCAGGGTGAGTAGCAGAGCATTGAAATCCATTTGCAAATATGGGGCAGAGAGGAAGTAATTCAATCTCAGGGCTATAGAGCTGGAGTCATTGAGAAGATCTGATCCACTCAGGGGATTCTATCTAATTCACTGAGCTAACCACTTGGACAAGGAAAAGAGTGGTACTGGAAAAATGTGGGTGGCCCAACATAGGTTTTTGGTAATATTTATTATATATCAACCATTCAGACTGACACGTCCCTGGAAAATAGTCTTAAAAAGTATGCTGAAGGCGAATCTAAATTATACAAATGAAAAGAAAAGAAAATGCTAAAGATAAAAGTGCAAATTACATGCCATATCCTAAAACCTATTCATTATTAGCATTGTGAAATACCTGAAAACATTTGTGATTTCTGTATGACTTGTTTTATTTTTTAACAAAAATTCTGCGTTGGTGTTAAACAGATTTTCAACCCTCAACAAACCAGATGGCTAATCCAAAATTATTACATGAAATATGAATAGGAAACTAAGAACTGTACTCTGCAGAAAGATAATGAGAATTTTTCAGCATTTACATTTTTACCAAATAAATTATATTTCTATTTCATTGGGATCTACTTCAGAAATATAACAAATAGCCTCAGTGATAATTACCAAATGTCTATATTTAGGGAAAACTAGCACATGTGTATCATAAATAATAGCACAAATTGATATTTCTGAATTGCCTGTTTTTCTAGATATAGACATTTGGTAATTATCACCAGAGTTGGCATGTAAAGAGGTGTTTAGACAATTTTAAAAATTCATATTGCTTACTCAATAGACCATGCACTAATTATATTCTGCAATGAAAATCTATATTCAGGTGTGTTATAATAAGGTAAGATCTTGACCCAATAGGTAATAAAGGAAAAGTATATACTTTGGTTTAATGAGTATAATCACTTCACTTTAGGACTACCTAAAACAGCTGTCTGTGACTGACAAATTACTTGCTAATCTAATAGTAGTCCCAAGGTGGAATAACTTTGACCTTAAAACTAAAATGTTTACTGCCCAAATATTATTTTTGTACCTTGGCACAAAGAAGTTCATTAATTCTGCATCACTTAGTCTGTCTCCTACAGCTTTTAGTTTTGACTTATTGACTGATTGGCAAAGAGTAACTTCCAACAGAGAAAGGTTTAGCAGAACTTGGCCAGAAAGGGCCTGCTTTTGGCTCCTTCCCTACTAGAACTAATGTCTGTGGAAGTGTGTGTGTGTGTGTGTGTGTGTGTGTGTGTGTGTGTGTGTGTGTTTTCCTCAGGTAATATGCAGGCAGTATACAGAGAACAAATACAGGCAACAGATGGAAGATTTGCTTGGTCCCATCCACCTTAGTATCTGGCCAATTCTTGGCAAATATTACTTTCAGAGCATAGGGAGGTATGTGAAACACCATCAGCCTTTACCAGGTGACACTGACAACAGTGATGTCAGCTGTGACTTGGGCAATGGGGAGGACCAACTGGCTGGCAGCAATGAGAAGTTACTAAATTAAAGCTATCTTGCTCTTTGCTGCTGTGAGAAAGTGATACAGCTCAGTGGGCTGCTAATGAGAAGCAAAAGAAGAATATAAAGGCAATGCCAAGAGGTACAAGAAAAGGAAGAAAGATAATTATGAGGTAGAATTTAAACTTCAACTAAAATCCGAATTCTACAGCTGTAAGAAAAAAGAAATAGGTTAGTTTGCACTGACTAATAGGAATTTAACAATAAGCATGAGATGCTGAGGAGATGAATAGCATAGCAAAATAGGTAGAATTTAAAAAAAGACAAGATCATGCACAGAAATTTAGTTAGTATCACAATTTAACAAAATAGCAAAACAAACTCTGCATGGAAAAGTTGGTATGATGAGGTGTTTGTTGGTTCTTGGAAGGTTTCTGAAAATTTGATACAATTTTTCTAGATTAAATAGCTTTAATTACTAATTCAGCCTAGATGATGAAATGCACATATTATATAATTAAATGATGGTTCTCTTTTTTGTTGCACACAAACTCACAGGGCCATTGATCCCATCAGTCCTTTCACGCCTTTTTTCCTGTTGTTGTAGCTGTAAATAAATGATACCTTGTGAGACCTAGTATAATCATCTCATATTCTGGCAGGGGTTATTAGAACTCACCTATTATTTCATATGCTCCCTGATCATGGTTTTGTGATGTGTCATTTTGAACTTGGGTTAGCATTCAATCAAACATTATGCTAGGTGTTGCTGTGAAGAGAGTTTGTGGATATAATTAAAAGTCCATCATCATTTAACTTTACCTAAGGAAGATTATCTTGGCTAATTTGGGTAGACCTGATGAAAAACAAAGCTGAGATTTCCCTGAGAGAAAGAGAAAAAAAAAAAAAAAAAGTCCTGTTGATAGTAGCTGTAGGCTATGTTGCAAATGCCCAAAGTACCCCTGAGTTTCAGCCTACTTGTAATCTCCCCTTCCTGGTGGTCTGCTTTGTGGATTTCAGCCTTGCCTATCCAGCTCCCACAACTGTGTAACCCCATTTCTTGTAATAAATCTCTTAATATACACATCTCCTGCTGGTTCTGCTTCTGTGGTTGAATCCTAACTCATACATCCCACGAAATTTTCCAGTCTCCCTTGGGTAGGTGAAAGGTGTGTGACTCGTTTGGCACATGGACTAAGAGATGAGAATGAATGCACAGCTAAAATCAAAGCTAGTGTGCCTCCTTTTTCTCTTCTTTAGTGGCAAGCCTGAAGACCGTGAGTTAAGATCATAGAGCCACAGAAAGAAGCAGCCTGCACCCCTGAGTTCCAGGTCGGAATAAAGTATCACCTGAACTGCTTCAGACTTTGTGGGAATGAGAAACAAACCTTCCTTGTAGTAAGCCTCATATTTGTTAACTTTATATTTCAAGGTTTATTTATTAGTTCAGTATAGCCAGTCTTGTCACATTTTACGGAAATATTCTTGACTTTCTTTCTGAAATGTCTGTTAAATGTTTATAGATAATTTAATAGACATACAATGTGTTTATTAAATGTCTGTATACACAGAGAGTAATCAGAAACTCACTGGACACATTTTTGTCTTTAGTTATGACAAAGTACACTCTCATAGAATGATCGGAAGCTTCCTTTTTATAGGCAATAGTATTACTTGCAATACTTTTATAGGCAAGCCAAAAACAAGACAGGTAGAAAACAGTGATGGGTCAAAAACATGAGCATTAATTACTATGCTGACTACACCTATTGACAAGACTTTTGTTGCTTTGTAAAATCAAACTCTATGCTTGTTTTTTCTTAGCTCCACTGCAACCCACTCTTATAATCTGAAGAGGCTCCTATGATCAGAGTCAAAGATACAAATGCTAGGATACCACACAAAGAAGGAAGAAGAAATATCCTGTTAACAATGTCCAGGTGTGAAAAAATAAACTGCAACAATAAACTGGAGGACTAGTTGATGCACAAAATAATCTCACTCTTCAATCTTATTGGACCTTTATTTATGTGGTCAAGTTTGTGATGACTAGTTTCAGGATAGACACCTTGACTTGGCTACAGTGCTACAATCCCACCTAAGAGTTACAGATGGTCTATTTATGCAGGCCGTTATATCTTTAATTTCTCTCCTTAATAAATTTTATTTATTAAGACAAGAAAATGTAAGAAACTTCTGCATTTTTTAACTTAAAACAATATTGTTAAGATTGTTTTAATTAAATACTGTTCTAAATTAAATACACACGTATACAAAGAAGAGGGTAAGAACACTAAAACTTTCACAGTGATGGAATAAAAAGTGATTTTAAACTTTTCTATCCTCTAACTTTTCTATCTTCCAATTTTTCCAAAAAGAAGATGAATTGTTTTAACTCAGGAAAAAATTTACAATGTAATAAAAAGTAAATTAATTAATTATAAAATATTAAGCATTGCAAAAGATTATAATAGCATTATAAGTACAAGATCTTAAATGTATGATAACACTCACTTTTCAGATGGCTTTCCATCTAAACTTCACAACATTTAGATTATTAACAAGTGCCTTTTCTATAGTTATCAAAAGTAATTTTTAAATGAACAGCCAATCTTTCCCTAGAAACTAAATGAGTGCTCGATGCAGTAAAATCTAAATCTGAATGCACAGTTCTCATTTTAACAAACATCTACTCAGGTTTCTTAGTAGATTTTATTTTTAAACAAATGTTACAATTAACATCATCAAATGATTTTTATTTCACAAGATGCTACTAAATGCATAAGTGTGCTTGAAACACTTTATTTCTAGTCAATACGAGCATGATATTCACCTACAAAATTTATAAATACTATTAGCTAACAATATCTCTTGCTAAGCAAAGGTCAACATAATCTAGTCTGCATCCAATTGATCATGAGTTCTTGATTTGCAGGGACTAATTAGTGTGTCTTAATTATTACCCAATTCCGTTACTATCATCACATTTATCCTACTGCTACATTTCTCACTATTTTTCTTGGCAGTATCCTTAATTTCCCAATTCTATTTTATTAGTTTTAATTATGTCATAGAAATTATCTCTAACCTACATATGCATGTTATTCTTTTTCATTTGCCATACTTGTCAATAATTGATCTTGGCTGTTCTCTATTTTATAATCTTCACCAATTATGAGGTTGATAGGGATTTATCTTCATGTATGCAGAGCTGGCAAAAATACATAGATATGTACTTATGTACATACATATAAGTTCATTTTAGAAACCAGCTGACAAAGTTGAACGTGGTCAGTGACTTGTTAAGATTTAGAGGCGTTCAACCTTAGAAACTGAGGGGCAATGGAATACAAAATTACTTTTGGTTCATTTGAAGTTTCAAAGTCCCTGAAAGTTGAAAGGTAAAAGAACCTCCAGACAATTACTGTCTGAACTGTTTTTCTGTTACTTTTGCCTAAATTTGGTGGCTCTTTCCTTTTCTCCTTTCACCCTTCATTATACACCAACATCAAAATACTAAAATGTTACTTTTTCTATGACGAGGTATCAGCCTAAGGACCAAATACAGTCCTGGTTTAACCTGTTTTTACCAAAGGCTTCATAATGTTTTTGAGGTGGTTTGTAGGCTAGTTTTTGGGGTTTTCTTGTTAAAAAAAAAAAAAAAAAAAAACTCTTTAATGTTTTTCAGAAGATAAGTAAACAAGAACAATTATACCTTTTTCCTAATGAACGGAAAGAATCGAGAGTGTCCCTAAGGCTGTGGTGAATACAGGAGCAGCTGAGGTGAGGGCCAGGGGCTGTCTCCTGCTAAGGTATCATTGTGGTTTTGCTGTAGAAGGCCAGGAAAATAAAAGCTTTCTGTATCTTAATAAATGTAGCCATGTCATCCCTACCATAAACATGTGTACAGCCCTGCCACCAGAGAAAAAATACAGAATTAATGACTTTTAGGTGTCTATCTACTCACCTAGATCCCAAAACTCTGACCACAGTAGCCGCAACCCCATAAGTGGCTTTTGAATTTGGAAAGCCACATATATTCTCATCCTTACATACAATGTTTGTACAGAAATACAGCAAAAACAGCACCATGACACTTTCAATGAACACTTTCCCAAAATACCAATTGACTATTTGCTGTTCTAAGATCTGTTTGGCAAGAAAGATAAATATAAAAATACAAATAAACATACAAATAAAACACAGAACCTAGCTTCTTAGCTTTGGAGAAGATGGAGAGAAATCATATTCATCATGTGTGGCTGGAACAAATGTAGTCAACATTTATTTAACTTCTAAAAACATTATCTAGTCATGGAGTATAGAAGCTTCTTTACTTTTATTTTTTGGTCCCATGAAGCGGATAGTTAATGCAAGCATTATTGATGATAATAGCGGATAATGAAACATTTTATATGATGGAGGAATTAAATTATAATGATAAGAGCCAGCCTACAAATCAACTCAGTTTCTGGCTTAAAGAGAAGAGTGTCTCTCCTATCCTGGGTTTTCCAGAGTAAAAGAGGAACTATTTCAGATGCCAAGGTTAGCACAGATATACATACCAAGTAGTCTGCCTCTTCATCTTTAAATACGTTCAAAATGTACAAAGAAAAAAAAAAAGATTCATTATCATTAATTAGCCAGCATGTAAAAAAAATCCAATGACAATTTTTTTGTAGTTCAGCATCAACTCCCCACACTACAGCTGAGTGTTTTTCTGCTTCCTTACGTGCCACAGCTGTTTCTGATCCTCATGATTTTTCTAATTTAAAGACCAAGAAGTTTGTTTTCATTTGACAGTGTATAAGATTTTCAAACTATTTGCTGGAAACTGCACTCTAATTTCTGCTGTTATGTGTTCTTTTGTTCGAATGGCATTTTAAAAAATCAGCCTTTTCCTGGTGCTCCAATTCTGAGATAATACAAAAAAGTATGCTGATAGGAAGGCAACAGTCAAAATAATTCAACCATTGCCCTGGAGAACTTGACACCTCTCTTGTTTGTTTCTCTCCCAATCAACAAGCCCTTGGTTCTATTGGATCCACCGGCTTTATAAAAATGGTAAATCAAACACCAAAATGTGTTACAATACAGGATGTAAATTAGAGATTTATTTATATATTTATACACTCTATCAAGACCTAAAGGACTCAACAAAAATGCAAGAAAAATGTGAAAGGGAATATGTGTACTTTTTTTTTCCTAGCAACTTGTATCCTCTGGCTTAAGAGATAGCAGCTATTCAGTGAATCTAGTGGCATAACTAACATTTCTGACTTTGTTTCTCCATTAACTGTGCCCTCCCACAAGTTCTTCTTTTAATGGAATAATAACAAAACTCATTGCCTGTATCACAGTGATCACCACGTAACTTTTGAAACCACAAACTTCGTGTCTTAATTTCTGAAAACTTCATTTTAGTGCCAGTTCTTAATGATCCTATCTGAATTAATCATAGGAGTGCTGCTGGCTTCTGTTTCTGAAGTATCCTGTAGTATTATAATTATATTACATAAATGTATACTATACCTAAAAATTGCATACTACATATGAATGCAAACATATAAATTAGAAGTATATTGTATTGATTAGGAAGAAGGTGGATTGGATTTGAATGCTGACTCTGCAATGTAATAGTTGTTAGACCTTGAGCAAATTGTTCATCTTTCTGTGCCTCAATTTCTCCTCCTATGAAATGGAGATAAGAAACTTTCCTACGCTATCAGGTTGTGGTGAGGATTTTTAGATTAATAAATACAAAACACACAGAACAGTACCTGGCATGCATTAACACTCAATTATTGTCAGTGTTTTGTGTTTATTATCATCTCTATTACTTTCATCATCAAATTTCATACCACCACAGAAGTTTTATTACAAATTGCCAATCATGACAATTCCTAAAATATTTAAATATTTCAGGAACACATAGTTCAAAAACATCTTTAAAGTAATGCAAGATTCTTGCATGTGGCAAAGTTCCATTCTCATGTCATCCCTAACATTTCATATTTGGATTAAGCCATACTCTTCTGTGACAAAAAAAGTTTCTCCTAAATTTTAAATATCTTAACATAAAGTTTGCACCACATAAATAAAAATTACATGTGTGGATAGATGTCACTTCTATTTGGAAATCTGAAATACTTAATTATGTTGTACAATGTCTATGAATTTTCCAGAGAATAAAATATCAGTTGGAAATGTCCATTTGATAGGACTGGCTTCTGTGAGATCTGCTCAGCTGCTTGCGTGTATTTTTATGTTTGTGAAAATACAGCCAATCTTGGGCAAAAGAAATAAATCAGGTTTGAACTTTTATCATAACCTGTTGATTAACTACTAGCAATCTGTCATGTTCTGGGTCACATTACTACAGAAAATGGAGCGTCACCTCCCGGAGTGCCCCTCTGAGAACCTTAAGTTCATGGGAATGAACAGTAGAAGGGACCTCTGAACCCTTTCCCACAGCCAAATGACAGCTGTGATTCTTTGGCCTCAGCTTGCCTTCTTAAGCTGATTCGGCACGAAATTTATTGTGCTTCCTCCACAGCGTCCCATGTCGGCTCGGGACATTTATTATTCTGACCAATTATTGAAGGATATATGTGTTTCCTATCATTCAGTTTGATCAAAATTCTAGCCTCTAAAAAGGAACAAACCACAGCTCAGGAATGAGGTAGGAGTGTACTCTGACATGCTGCTAAAGTTTGTTCCCTGCCTCTGGAGTGCAAACTTAAGCACACTTTAATCCTGCTTTTAAAAAGCCAAGGTGAGGCTTCCTTTTACCAGCAAGTTTCTCAGATCAGAATAATGGGGGAGAAAAAGACATCAAAAAGACAGATGAAGAGCTCAAACTTTTTAGAAAAATGCTGAGTTTCAATCTTTTCAAGTTTCTTCTACTTTTAAGCAGTGAGAACTTGAGTAAATTCCCTAACCTTGAGCCTCAGTGGTCTCATCTGCAAAATGGAGATAATAACAGCTCCCAGTATTGTTGTGAAATTCAAATGAGATAATGGGTGTTAAACATTTGATGCAGACAGAATTCAATGAATATTAGTTCTTATGAACAGGTTTACTGAACTTTGAAGCCACATATACTGTTTGGTCTTTGCTGGAGTTTCTGAATTATTTGCTTATATCTTGAATATTTGAAACTTAATAAGCTTATGGAAAGGAAAGGACTAGATAACACAGGAAACCAAAGGAAGTATGGAGGATTTAATTTTATCTTAGGAGTAATGGGAAGTAATTGGATAG